AAAACTCCAACATGGTACAGAGATGACTATAGGTTCTCCAAGGTTATGTCCTCCATTTACACCACAATCACCCTAGATGGCAGCCCTCACCTTCCTGGGAGACTATTGCTATAGCCTCCTAATTGGTTTCAAGTGTCCTCTAACCCCTAATCCACCCTCCACACAGTTGGCAAACTGACATTCCTAAAGCATTTGCAGGTCAGTCCAGGTTGTTTCCCTGTTCAACAAGCTTCAGAACTTCGTTTATAATAAGACCTTTTCTGTTTGTCATTTAAAGACCTTCATAATCTTGCTCCAGTCTCATTTAGGCATCATTCACACTCATACACTGTATTCTCCAGTTAAGAAAGTCTTCTTATTTGTGGTTCTCGATGCAAAACTCTCCTCTCCCAGATTTCATGTCTTTACACAGTCTGTCTCCAAATACCTGGAATGTTCTCCTTTATCATGTCTGCCTCTTGGAACCAAGGGCTCCCTTCAAGGCTTAGCTCAAGGACAGCTCCTCCTTCAAGAGCCCTGGTTCTCCTAACTGGTACTGCCATCCCACTCCACACACACCTCAAAATCCACTGGATACTTTGTATCTATTTTCTAAGTACTTATCTGTGAAGATGTTATATCCCCCCCTCTCCCAACAAAATGTAGACTCCTTGGGGATAAAACCACATTTGCACATGTACCCCCTGAACTTGCATCATGCTTGGTATATAGTTGCCACTTTGTCAGCAGACTCCAAGCTCTAGCAGTTCCTTCTAAGCTGTGGGAAGGTCACAAGTTCTCTGAGTATCAGTTTCCTCTTCTGTAAAATGAGGTTAGTAATATTCGCAATCTTTACTCTCATAGGCTTGGTTGTGAGCAAAATCTTCTGCAAAACTTAAAAAGTAAAACTTAACTGTGAATTTCTACTTTTTTGTATTTTCACATCACAGTGTAAGGATACATTATTTGATGCTTTTCTCCTACTGACAAGTTCATTTAGTTGAGGTTACTTTCAAAGACTCAAATGGATCCGTGCTCTCATTGATTCAGAAGTTCCCTCCAATGAGGCAGATCACAAACCATCCATGTCTGCCCATCCTGTGATGGTCATCTGTTTTCCAAAAGTTTGCCACAGAGACTGTACCCAATGTGCTGCAGATCTTCCTTGCTTTCTCCCTACATCAAGAGACTAGCAATGGACCACTTGGCCTATGTACTAGTCATTCCTTGCTCTCACCACATGACCAGTCCATTTTCTTCTCCTGTCACACAAGAGGTTACCTAGGACTATTTCTTTGCCTCAAACATTCCATACTCCTCTGCCTCCCAACTTTTGTTCATGTTTTTCACTTGGCCTAAAAAGTCCCCCCTACCTGCTCCCTGAGTGACATCTCCTACTCATTCTTTAAAATCCAAACTAAATTCCACCTCCCCCATGCATATCAAATTCCCCCATTCTCCCTTCAAAATGTGCATAACACTTTATTTAATAATCCAGGGAATATTCACCATGAATTATTTTGTATCCTAGTTATTTGAGCTGCCCTTTTTTCCCCTGTTGAACTTTTAAATTTCATGAGGGCAAGGATTCAGTCTTATCTAAACTGAATTTTCCTCAACATCTAGCATTGGATTCCAGATATAGTGGACATCTTGTATATATATATATATATATATATACATATATATATATATATATATTTCCATACAGGTTGGCTCTCCTGTTAAAATGTAAGCATCTTGAGGGTAGAGATAGTTTTTGGCTTTTTCTTTGTATCCCACAGAGTAAGTTTTTAATAAATACTTATTGCTTTTTGGATTACAACAGGAACTACCACATCTGTAGATCTGGCTCTAATCACTGAACCAGCCCTTCTGTGAAGTATAGAGTGACGAGCATATCCTATACAAATCATAAAATACCTAATGTAGTTTGTTCGAAGGGCACCAAATTTTGTGTCATCTTTGTTTTTAAGATTCATGTCAACTCAAAGTAATTTACTGCTCTGAAGTTCAAATATCTCCTTTGTTGTTTAAGTTTAAAATCTCTATTAATTTCTTGTGATGGGCTTCATGGTCAGCAGTATTGACTGGCCTGAGTAACATCTTCCAAGTGCCTCCACCCTCTTCCAACTTAATCAGCATTGTCAATCTGGCTTTTATGAATCAACTTACACTCATTTTTCTGACAGAAGCATCAGTAATAATGTGAGATTTTTTTTTCATTTACAAGTACTTGGCCTCTTTAAATTTAATCTTTTGCATCAGTCTGCGTGCTATATATACATATAGATACATACATATGTGTGCGAACTTTTTTGGGTATTTAAATTTCTAAAAATTGTGTATCTCCCCATACTGCTTCATCGTTAATGCCTCAGACTAAAATATCACTAAACTACAAACACACACGTCTCTCAGAATGGGCTTCAAAGGGAAAAGATTCTGATCTACTCACTGCTCTCAGATAATCATTTATATTGTGTGCTGGGAGAAATCTGTTGCTCAACATTGATAATCAATGGCAACAGAAAGAGTCAAGGAATGCACTTAAGACCCAAACTCAATTTCTTCTTGTGAATACATACATCAAGTTCTAATTACTCTCTGATCACCATCAAGGATTAGAGGGCTTGGGGGTGGAGGGGGAGATGAGAAAAGGAATAACCTAATGGTTTCAGTATCATTTTAATTAATGAGATAAGGAAATAGGATGCCTTCTCCACAAATACAGATTTAATCTGGATAAATATGAAAAAAATTGAAATGATGCACAGAATAATTTCAGATTTTCCTTGGAAAGAACAAAAAAGGTACATCATCTCACTTCAATCTTTACTGGACAAACCTGAGTTTCATATTGTTATTATGTAAATTACAAGATTTGTCCATGTTAGTAATAACCAGAAGGATACTCCACCATCACCCTATAAAACTATCAAGGGAAGAAATACCTAAGAAGTTATGAGAGGGTGGGTCAAGCAATAAATATCATTTTAAATTTGTCTCTTTAATAGCATCTTTGATCGAGATTACTCAAAGAGTTTCAAAAGTGGTGCTCACTAGTTCTCTGTATGGAAAGATTATCATTGCTTCAACTTATTCTTGTTTATAAACAAAATATATCATTATAAAGTCCCATTGGGCAAGGGCCATATACAGGAAATTTTATATTAGTGAAAACCCAGAAATAGTTATAGGGTACATAAGAATACACCATACCTCCTCAAAAGTAACTGGGAGTAGGGGTAGGGAGCAGGGAACAGTCTCCCAGCTTCAAGTCATAGATCAGGGCCTTGTGCTACCCTAAATCCAAGTACTTAGCATAGTGCCTGGCACATAAGAACCGTTTAACAAATGTTTACTGACTGTTGACAGACTGAAGGAAGTGTAGAGTTCAACATACTACTTTCTTTGAGTTCACAACTTCATCTACAGTGGCTCAAAAATCATTTTTCAAATACCTATTAAATGCTTAGTGTAGACACTGATTGTCATTAAGGGGGAAAAATCATTGGTTGTTTAACTACCATCAGCATAACCATTCAATGTAGGCCAACTCATATTAAATCTGACAAGTCTCTGGAGGAAGTAGAAAAATATAAACACGTATACACACCCACACAAATAAGTTTTAAAGAGTCATTCAATTTATCCCCTAGCTATGTTTTAGTTTAAATAAATCCTTGTTGAGTACCACAAGCCAAGGCTTTAACACTTCAAATTTAAGATCCATGTTAAATTGTTTGTAAGTGAATTTAATGTGTAAGAAAAGAACTAGGAATATTTGCTTCCATACTAGTAGATTTATATCCTACTTTCATGACCCACTTTTTAAACATTATGAAACAGACTATTTTCTTACCCTCTTTTTGCCCTAAATGTGTTTCTCTGGTGAGTTCGTGAAGGTCAAGTAAATACTTATTAGTATTCTCTTTTTATTTTAAACAAAATTAAATTAACTTCTTTTAGGAAAAACCATGACCTCAAGTTTCCCAAGCACCCATGGGCACTGTTCAATAAGCCAGTGTGGGCATAAAGTGCTTAAGTGGGGGTAAAAAAATCAATTCTGACCTTGTAAGTACAGTACTATAATTAGGAATAATAATAGCATCAAATGTAAAGTACACATTAAAATGGCTTATTTTTAAATACAAATCCATTTCTTTCTTTCAAGACCTGGACAACAGGGATCTCAATAACTGACTTCAAGGGCAATTCAGTAACGCTGCAACATCCAAGTGAAGCTGTAAGAGCTTCAGGTTCACATTACACAACATCTAGGGATGTTTTCTTACATTTTCTTCTTTATCAAAGGTCTTATACTTCACTATATAATAAAACAGAACTTCCAACCCAAAGTAAAAAAATCTCCACAGAAATGTTGAAACGCCCATAAAGGGGAAAAAAACAACAACCCTGAAACAAATTCTGGGTGAAAATAAAACTTAATATTACAAGAATATGAACAACTGTATTCCAAAGTTCTCAATGGCAAGTGACTGCCCGAAATCTGTAAAACACACTATTTCCCTGTAGATAACATAATTTTCATGCAAGTGAAGGTCAAACTACTGTAATTAAAGGTAATTAACCGGGCCTTCACAGTACAGTGTAACCTAACAAGCTGGGAGCTGTCGAGCACAGGAGTAAGGCAAACCTAAGGAATTATTTGCACGCCGTAAATAACTACTTTATTCCTGCAACTCAATAGACTCAGACCCTTTTGAAGACGTCAGGTTTTTTTGTTTTTTTTTTTAAATAACAGGCTTGTTTTGATGGTTTGTCCCTCTCCACAAATTCTAGAGGCAAAGGGAGTTTCTAGCCCTATATCAGTTTCCACTTCTGATTTCCTTTCAGACGCCCACGCCAAGAAGCGAAATTAAGGGGGCAGGGACCCAAGCCAAGCACATTTCGCTCCAGAAGATTACTAAGGAAAAGTTTTTTGGTTTACTGTTTTTTAAATCCCCACCACCTTAGAGCAAGAAACTCGACGCGGCCCGAGATGTCCAAGCACTTACTCAGGACTGAACGCACCAGCAGCAAGACGGGCACCGACGTCTCCTCGGCCGCTGGTGCTCAGATCTCATAGCTTCGCTCCCTTTCTCTCTTCCTCCCCTTCCTCCTCGCTGGCTTCTCTCCCCTCCCTACTGCGGGCGGGCGGGCGCGTGCGGCGCTGTCAGAGCCCGTACTGAGGCCGGGGCCGCGCGCACCTGAACGCCCGGCAACACCTGGGCGAGGTGGCTGGCAGAAGAGCGAGCGAGCGAGCTGTTGGGCGGGCAGGCGACGGCGCAGGCGGCGCAACCCCGGAAGAGCCGCGCCCCCTGCTCCCAGCTCCCATGCCCAGGTGTCTCCTCCTCCTCCTCCTCCTCCTCCTCCTCCTCTTCTCTCCGCCTCCTCCTCTTCCCTCCTCCTCCTGCCACCTTCCGCCGCCTCTGCCTAGGCTTCACCCAGCCCAACACCGCGGGGGAGGGAAGCTCCGGAGCCGGGAAAGCCGCGCGCGTCGGCGGAGGCGCTGCCGGAGCCCCGGCTCACCCGCGGGGGCGGCCGGGCCGGCAGTCCCTGCTCTGCCGCATATTTGAGCAGCTGACTCAGTGCCCGCTCCACTTTCCAGGGCCCCGCAGCACAGCTCTGCCCCTTTCACTCCTCACCTCGGTCGCCCCCCGTGCTGCCCAGCCTCCCACGCCGCACCTGACCCGCACCCACCCCTGAGCCGCGCGGAGACCGATCCCCGGCAAGACTCCGAGGGGAGCCGGGAGGACCAACCCCCCACCCACTGACTCAGGGGGTAGCCCATTGACCGCCGGGCTAAAAAGTCACCTTAACTCGCCAGCCATTGTAGCATGATGAGATGATAGTCTTTATTTGAGACTGAAAGGACCGTGTTGTTCAATTCATTTGTTTTGTGTGTGTGTGTGTGTGTGTGTGTGTGTGTGTGTGTGTTTTAAATTCAAATAATTATTTGTATATTTTAAAATCTAACCTTTCCCCTACCCCATCTCTAGAATTGAGAAAGAAAGGAAGGAAGGAAAAGAAGGGAGGGATAGAAGGAAAAAGAGTTAAGGAAGAGAGGAAGGGGAAAAGAAAAGAAGAAAAGAGTGAGGAAGGGAAAAGGGAAGAAGGGAAAGAAGGGAACAGTGATCATTTATAGTCCCGAAAAACAAATTCTCCCATTGGCCATCCACGAAAATGTGTCGGACTCTACATTTTAAGTTCCTCATCTCTCTGTCGAGGGGTGTGGCATGTTTCATCTTTAGTGTTCTGGATTTATGGTTTATCCCTGCATTGATCAAAAGTACTAAAGTCTTTCAAAGTTGTTTTTTCTCAATTACAGGCTATAAATTGCTCTAGTTCTACTTACTTCACTTTGCATCAGTTCATAAAAGTCTTTCCAGTTTTCCCTAAAACACTTCATTTCAGTTATTTTCTGTGGTACAATAATATTCCATTACATTCTCCAATAGAACACCTACTTAAGTTCCAATTTTTTGTTACTATGAAAAGAACTGCTATATTTTTGTAAATATATGTACTTTCCTTTTTCTTTGATCTCTTTGGCATATTGGCCTAATAGTGGTATTGCTGGGTAAAAGGGTGTACATGGTTTAATAATTTGGGGAACATAGTTCCTAATTGTTTTCCAGAATGGCTGGACCAATTCATATCACATAGCACTAACACTGCATTATTTGACTTTTCCCACAAGCTCTCTAACATGTTTCATTTTCCTCATTTGTCATCTTTGCCAAGTCTGATGGGTATGAAGTGGATCCCCAAAGTTGCACTAATTTGCATTTCTCTAATTATTAGTGATTTAGATAGAGCAGAGATATCAAATATAGGCCAGAGCACACAGCCCAAAACGTTCTCAAGTACAGCCAGAAACAGATTAAAATATATTTGGGAAATGTTTAACAAAATAAATAAAATACAGTAAAACATAGATAATGTTAAGTATTTTTCTAAGTCAAGATCCTTATGTATAATTTAGTGCCCCTCCCCCCATTTCCATTTGAATTTTATACCATTGACTAGAAACATGTTTTTTCAACTGATTGCTGATGGCTTGGATTTCTTCCTTCCTGCTGATTTATTTTAACCTCATTTATTTTGCAGATGTGGAAACTGAGCCCCAGAGAACAGAAATGGCTTTCCTAAAAGCATACCAAGTGCTAAATGACTGAATCAGGATTCAAACCCACTTCTGAGTCAAGATGCCATGGGCTTTCCATTACATCATGCATTTCTAAATTCCTGAAACTTCCCGTTTCTTGCCTTTTCTCACAAGTTGGTTTAATGCAAATGTCAACTGTAAAATGAAAGGAATTTCAATAACTTTTAAGGTCTTGTGCAACTCTAAGTCTCTGCTATATTTGCACTGAGATTGGATTTCCTTAAAAGATGTAGTAGTCTTGGTAGAGACAGCAAGGAAGGACTTAAGCAAACTCATGATCTTTCACAATTCTCTAGATTCTGTAGAACTGATCATGTGTAGGTGGTAAAAGGAAGTAGCTATTTGGTGTGAATGTGCTCCTCCTACCCAAAATTTACCACTGAGGAGCCAGAATGCCCACAATTTCCACCTTAGTCACCCAAATGCTTTAACACAAGTGAAGACTTCGCAATTCTTCAGAAACTAAATCATCAAAGGTCATTAATGACCAAATCACCTGGCCTTTTCTACATTTTCCAAGATCTTTCTCCTGCATTTGATGCTAACCATCCTTATTTTTCTTAAAACCAACCTCCTTTGACTCAGTTTTCCTTCTTCTTCTCTGACCTCTGTTTCAATGATTCTGAAATGAACAACCCTCTGGTTGCCCATATGCTATCACCTTCCAGAAACTCATGCTTTCCCATAGCTTCAACTGTTGCTAAGTCTAAATGTCCAGCTTCTCTGCTGACCTTCAACCATCTCCATCTGTCTGAATATTTGCACTTGAAGATGAGACAGTTTCTGAAACAAAACATTTCAAAGAACTAAACTCATCTGCACTACTCCTCCCTCAATATATATGTATTGATATGTTGGGTTGGGCCTGGAAGGATGGATAGTATTTCTATTAGTAGAATAGAAGGGTTAGTATGTTGCAGTTAGGAGGAATAAAATGATCAATCATTTTGATACAGAAATGACTATGTATTCCAGGAAAATGAATATAGGGTGAGAGAGAATGACATAGGTTAAGGAATGAGAGTGGTATATAGAAGTACATACATACATACATATGTATGCACACACACACATATACATATATATGCACTTACATACATATGTGAATCAGACTTCAGTCTGATTGGTATTCAAGGTCCTCCACAATCTGTCACAATGTTCATATCCATCTATATCTCCCACTACACTTCCATATACCACTCTCAAACCTTAGTCTATGTCATCATCTCTCATCCTTTATTAATTCTGCAATACATACTCATTTCTGCCTCTGAATGATTGTTCATCTTATTCCTCCTACCCACAACACTCGACCCTTCCTGTCTAATAGTAAAAATACTATCCATTCCTCAAGGGCTCTCAATAGAGCCTTCCCTGACTACCCTAGTTCAAATGAATTTTCCCTTCTCTGGTTTCCAATAACCCTAAAAGCTAATTATCACGCAAGAAAGCACTTGATAGCATAGTGACTGAAACTATTCAAAATATATATTTTGGACATTCAGTGGGAACAGAATTGGTATTTGTTATACTCCCAGGAGATCCCAGCACTTGTGTGATCCAGCCTGTTTTATGAGACTTAAAAGAAATTAAGGTTTATAAAGAACTCAGAGAACACTATTGTATAGAGTAGATGGATCCATTGCATCTTCTGTAACAGACTCATAATGACTTTAACTTTGACATACAATAAAGCTAAGAGTAAAATTAAAATCTATCTATTATACTGTTTGTATATAACTTGGCTTATGCCCCCTACTAGAGTATAAACTCTATTAAGGCTACTTCCAGCTTTGAGATTCTGTAATTCTAGGTTTCCACCCACATTGCATTGCACAGTAACCTGTATATAGAAGATAATAAATATCTATTGACTGGATTACGGTTGGGTTTCTATGATGCTTCATGTTACACGTTTCTTCATTTTAAGCTAATTGTTTTGGGAGGTATATTAACTCTTTCAGGTCACTACTGTACCGTTTACTTTATGGTTATAGGACAGAAATAGCATCATTTAAAAATACCCAGTCAACTCAATTATCCACTCTAATGAACAGGAACAGAAGGTGGAATGCATTCATTGACTGTCAAGTTTTTGCTTCTTATTCCTTCATGTGTACTTTTGGACTTTAGTTTATAAAACATCATAAATTTCATTTTTCCAGGCTGAATCTTAAGGGGGGAAATATTATAACTCCAAACATCCTTTTCATCCTTCCTCAGAAAGCCACACACACAAAGGATGATTCAATTCAAGTGAGAGACACAGAAGTTAAAAAGAAGAAAGAAAAAGGAAGAGAGGGAGGAGAGGAAATGAAGTAAAAAATAGGATTAGGAAATGGCTAAATTTCTAATTAAAGCACAAAAGCAAGAACTAGAAATAAATTGCTTGGAAATCAATAAAATAAAATGGGTAAAACATTAAATTGGTCTCTGGAATGTGCACAAATATTTTACTTCATATGCAATTGTACTTTGTTTAATTATACACATTTGAGAAGAAATAGCCTTGTAAAAAGCTTATAGGCAAGTAAAGTGAACACTTGTTTCTCATTTTATACTTTTGGGCTCTGAGTTCACACTGTAACTTGAGTAAACAAAGTGTATTTAGGGTTTTGAATAAGTTAGCATCTTTTGTCCAAGTTTAACAAACATGTTCTGCTTAAGAGAAGGAAGTAACTCAAATGAGTTTCTTGGAGGAGAAAAGGTGGTAAAGAATACTTGGGTTGCTCCAAAAGGGTTTTCTCATCATTTTGAAGACTTTAGCCAAGTTACTTCCTATTCGTATAATGGTGAAAAAAAACTGATGCCTACCTGAAAGCATCTTTGTCATTGGTTTCAAGTACTTTCGTACCTTTGGTTTGTGACTTCAAGGTCTGTTGATTTCCTTTTTTTTCCTTAAATGAACCTCTTTTCTTAGCACTAGGCCTAGAAGAAGTGTTGTAAATTTCTTTCATGCATAACATTTAATGCTTACTTTTTTTGAAAAAAGACATTTATCTCCAGCTTGATCTTCTTT